GAGGAGAGTTTGAAATAGCAAAGTACAGTACACCTTTTTCAAACAAATTGAAAAAGGTTTATGAAGATTGCTTTGGTATTCAAATTACCAACTGGAATGCAACCTGGGTACCACATACCGTTTGTGGTCAGTGTCACACGACGTTAATTTGTTGGGAGCAGACGAGAAATCAAGAGAGCTTAAAATTTTCGAAGCCCATGATATGGTCTGCACCAACAAATCAAAAGAACTGCTACTTTTGTATGACTAACGTTGCAGATTTTACTTCGACAACTAAACTTAAGATTCAATATCCCAACGTTCCATCAATTGTAAAACCTCAAAAAATTTTGGTTGTCGAAGAAACTACTACTCTTGAGCCGATGGATGAGGACGGAGAAGGGATGTAAGTTGACGACGTCTATGAAAAAAAACAGTTCTGAGGACGAAGAATACTTGCCCGATGTTGTTTGTCAAAATAAAGACTCTGAAACCTTCGACCAACTAGAATTAAATGACCTTGTGCGAGATATAGGGCTATCCAAAAAAGGATCTGAATATTTAGCGGCTGTATTAAAGAAGAAAAATTTATTAGCTAAAAAAACATCAGCTTATTTTTATCTCGATAGGAAGAAAGAGTTCCGAAAATTTTTCAATAACGATAGCGAAAATTCATTGGTTTACTGTTCAAATGTGAAAGATTCGGTTGATGAATTGAAACCGAACACATACAAAGACGATGAATGGAAGCTTTTTATTGATTCGTTAAAGAGAAGTCTCAAAGCTGTTCTTCTTCATAACGGAAACACGTACGCGCCGATTCCAATAGCTTACTCGACCAAACTTAAAAAAACTTATGAAAATTTACAGATTGTATTAAATAAAATAAAGTATTCGGAGAGCGGCATGATGGCCGAGCGGACTAAGTCATTGTCCCGTTAGTTCGTTCGTGCATCTTGTCGTGAGGTGAGGGTTCGATCCCCGACGGTTGTTCGAATAGTTCCAACACCAACCGTCGGAGATCGCTCCGGTAGCCGACTGTACTGGCATGGGTTTTCTCTGTGGTTTCCCCATGGCCACTATTCCAACAACCGATAGAAAGGGGTGAGAAATAGGGTAAATACAGTACAGAAAGCACAAGTCGGTCCACAGCCGCATTGGAATGAAGTTATATGTGCGAAAATCATATGTTAATTATAAGAAAGTGGAGAACATGTTGATAATAAAAAGTGGAGAACATGTTGATTATAAAAAGAGTGGAGAATATAAGAAAGACGTTGATAATATGTGTGTGTTGATAATAATGTAGTGAAACGGATGGCTGGGGTCCAATAAGTCAGTATTGGCAGGGTGCGAAGTATATGGTGGGGAGGGCTGGCGCTGACTACCACTTTTACGTGTAAATCTTATGGGAAGAGCATGATTTAACGCTAATGGCGACCACCGGAACTAAATTACTCCGTTTGATTTAACATAAGAAAAGCATGAAAAATGAGGGCAGCACCATCGTGCACCTGGCCAATACCAACAAGACGGCAGCACAAGTCGCTAGCGACAGCTACCATCTACTCAGCCTTGTAAAAATATGCCCAATATATACAAGTAAAAAAAAAAAAAAAAAATAAAGTATTCAGAGTATCAATGAAAAGTTTGTGGCGATTTGAAAATTGCAACGCTTCTGTTAGATCAACAATCAGGGTTTACAAAATATCCCTGCTTTTTATGCTTGTGGGATAGTCAAGATCGGAAAAATCGATCCTTCTAAATACCCACTACCATCACTTCATATTTAGATTGGTCTTATGAAGCCGTTCGTCAAAGCTCTGGAAAAAGATGGAAAAAGATGGCAATTGTTTTAGATATTTGGGAGAAAAGTTTCCGGCTCTTAGTGATGCCAAATTAAAAGAAGGAATTTTCGATGGGACTCAAATTCGGACTTGATTTCTAGACGATAACTTCGTTTATGAAATGAACAACATTGAAAAAGCAATATGATCAAGTTTTAAAGATATGTCACAAAATTTTTTGGGAAATAAAAAGAGTGAAAATTACGCAAATTTAGGTGAAGAGTTGTTGGACAATTACGATCCTATGTAATCAATTTGTAATATTCTCACAAATTTGATGTATATACATTAGAAATTAACTTTCTTTGTTGCTGTAAGATGGACAGCGGTGATTTCGGTCGAACTCACTTCCCCCCTCCCCGGCGGTGTGGTAGTAGCCCTGGACGGGGTGGTCGTGGTGAGTAGCATAAAATAAAAAAAAATTTGCTATTTTCTATCAATTTGTAATATTCTCACAAATTTGATGTATATACATTAGAAATTAACTTTTTTTTTTTTTTTTTTTTTACAAATTACAAATTACAAATATAGATATTACAAATTGATCCTATGGTTGCTTAATGAATCTTAAATTGTATTTCTTACATTCTTCAGCACTTTCAGCACTTTCCTGAAAATCTTGGCGACTACAGTGAAGAGCAAGGTGAAAGATTCCACCAAGACATAAATGAAATGGAAAGTCGATCTCAAGGAAAGTGGAATGTCAATATGGCAGATCAATGATGGCAGATCATTGCTAGACACTGAAGAGAAATGTACCCGAAGAAAAAAGAAAGCGAAAAAGAAACCTTTTGTGTAGGTCATTCAAAGACAAAAGGGTTGGACACAAGCGAAGAACAGCTTGAAAACAGAAAGATCTTTCCTTATCTTCGTATTGTTTTTAAAAATATTTTTTGATAAAAATAAATTTAATTAAGTTCAATCAATTTTTTTCATTACTACTTATATGTGCAATTTTCTGCATTAACTTAATTTTTTTGAGGGCTAAAGGACCAAATAAATTTTAAATTTATATTTATTTACAAATTTGTAAATCAAATAACGTAATATATATTTTGTTTTGATTTAAAAAATGATTTTCATCCCAACATCAATTTTTTGAAATTTTCAGAGATTTTTTGCTATTTACTTAAATTTTAAAAAGCTTATGGTTGAATAAACTTCAGATTTGAATTCAGCGGATCAAAATACATAAAAATCATACTTGGTCTGTGATTCAATAAATTTTTTTCTTACCAAAACTGCTAATTTTTGGCGATTTTAATGGTTTATTGCAATTTTATTAAAATTTTGAGGGTGTACGGGCAAAACTGACTGCAGAGTCGGATTCAGCGCGTCGAAATACATAACGATAGGTAGTTCCAATCAAAAGTACAGACCATTTTATTTTTGTTGTGGGCCGGTGTTATTTTTATTTTTAGAAACGAGAAATATTTTTAAATTTTTAGTATCATTTGAACTTTTCTGGTTTGTCAATTTACTCGTGTACACATTTGAATTAATCGGTTTTTATTGTCAAATGATTAATAAAGTGATCGAAAAATTTTAGAAAAACAAAATCTCAATACAATTCACACATGCAAATATGAAATAAATTTATGAAGGCAACTAACATTTTCTTTTATAAATTATCTGAAAAAATCTAGTTTGTTTGTTATAACTTATAACTATTAATTGTAAGCGAATATGTTGTAAAAATTGTTTAACATACTAATATTATAAATTTAACCCAGATTTATCATAGGCATTTTTATAAGAAAAAAATAGTATATATTTACCCTGAAAGAGAATTTTTAATTTTCGATTGCAACGTTTCTTCTAATATTCGATTGTTGATCTCAAGAAAAATCATTGTAATACGTGTTTTAACTTTAATAACAATAATGAGTCGTATAAATAAATATCCCAAAATATATACCAAAAAATAAAAAAGTTATCTTATAATACAATTGGGCGAGGATATTTGCACTTAGGACACATACTTCTGATATATCTATATTGCGGCGTGGTCAACGGGTGAGGACGGGTATATATAATGTAGGTATAGTATCTTTCACGGAAAAGTGGAAAAGTCCCTTTATCCACATTTTATGAACTTATATATTATATATATTTATATAATAAGTATGTAGTTAATTGTAGATGGGCTAAACGGAATGTATTTTCAGAAATCTTAATTGCTTAATTACTTTTAAAATTAATTTTGGAATCAAATAAAATAAAGTTCCCAAAAAAAAAAAAAAAGAAAAAAAAAAACATTCGACATACGACTATTGCGGAAGTTTTATATTACCGGATTCAAAATTTTCTCTAAAAATTTATTAGAAACAAAAAATTTCAGAAAATATCTTTATTGCAGCCTTCTCTTATTATAGAAATGTAAAATTTTAACATTAATTTGAATAAAATATCGATTGAATATCAGAATATTTATTTAAAATATTTATAAATTTGCATGTATGTAAGGATATTTCTATATCGTCTGCAGCAGTCAGCAGATATAAAAATGAATTTATACATGGCTGCGCTTAGACAGTTTAATGCTTGTTTATGTTAGTAAGGTTACTAATAGTGACCATTTGTTCCTCCGTTTCGGACGCATACACGCTTTCAGAGCTTTTGGCTTTCTCACCTTCACTATTCCCGGAAATATAACAGGAAAAGTAATGAGAATAATACAAAAAATTATATTTCGCAACCCAATAAGTAAATGAGCTGCTATTTGACAAGTCAGATTTCCGAAGCGAAGGCCACTACAAGTGTGGAATTTGAGAAAAACTTTAAATGCCGTTTTTACAAAACCAATAAGAAAATAGGTAAATAAAAAATTGGATACATTAAAAAATATACATACAATCAATTGATAAAAATTTTAAAAGATTGTAATTAGAACAATAAAATTCATAAAAACGGTTTACTTTTATCTACTCAATAGGACTTGTATTACTTGATATATACCAATAACAACAGCAACGCTGATAATAATAATGGAGGTTTAATCGTATGTCAATATATTAAATCACTTTAAATCTGTTTTATTAATTAATGTATTTATCATGATGGTCGTTTAGTAGGAGATAGATAAATAAACTTTTTCCTTGTCACTTGAATTTGTTTATTTTAAAAATAATTTTTTCTTTTTCTTATTTTTATATCGACTTCTATTTTTAAAAAATGGCAATTTTCTTACATAATAATGTGATTAAATCCTTATTTAAATCACCAATAAAATACTTTCTTAGATTTTCTAGCCTATTTACACCGGATTATTTAAGTGTAAGTATTTTTTTTAATATTTTTCACTGATATAGAAAATTAAATTATTTTCTTTTGTCTGTAGTTGCTAAAACCTAAAATACCGTTATATGGAATGGTGAATGTTCAAATTAAAGGTTACAATTATCCTACATTAGAAAATTTTCAACGATTAATTCATCAACATGCAGTACAGCTAGATATTGATATTGAAAATAGGTACGTAAAAAAGTGAAAAATTTTTGTAGTTGCTTTTTTTCATTGCATTTTTATAAATTAATTGAGTAAAATGTAATTTTCAGTTTTGCAACGCCTTCAAAATCACTTAAAATACAACGATTAAAAGATGTTAATACCGGTTTACAAATTGATTATCAACTAGAAGTTTATGAAAGAAATGTATTAGTAAGTGATGTATCATCGATTCGACTTCCCATGTTTATAAGATTATTAGAATCAACACTTCCAGAAGGAGTAACGTTAAAAGTTCAACCATGGGATTCGACAATTGAAAATAAACGATATATCCCTGATAAGGAACTTATAGAAGCAAAAACTGAATTAGAGAATATGCGTAAAAAATAAAAATCTTGATAAATTTAAGTTCTAAAAGTATTTTTAGAAAATAAGTCAAGAATTGCAAGGTAGTTTCAATACTAATTTTAATTAATATTTACATACAATCATGAACCATGTAATTATAAATTATATAATAATAATGTTTTGTAAATTAAAGTTCTTTTCGTATTTCTTTTATCCGATTTACAAGTTGACTTTTCCACATATCTTCTGTTACTGTACTAGCCCATTCCGGAATCGCTGTTTCAGGTAAAACAAAGTTAGCCATCATTGATTTCACTTGATTTATTTTTACAGGATCAAGATCAATATTAGAATTATTATTTGCAGATGAACTCCAAAGATGAAGAGTTTCTGGTGTAGGTTGTGATTGTAGTTCAGGTATTGGTACTGCTATTTGTGGATTTGAATCAATTATCGATGAAATCAATTCATCATCCTAATAAGAGCAAAATGATATAATTGACTGATTTTATGCGATTATTGTGAATTTAATTTTTTTTTTTAATTGTAATTACTTACTTCATTATCATTATCAGGATGATCAATAATCAAATCACTATCTGTTGGTACTTGAGACAATGGTAAATAACCCGCTGTTTCAATTTCATCATCATCACTGTCTGATTCATGATTTTCTGCTATTCTATTTATTGACGAATTTTCAGCTATGAAATCTTGATTCATTGGTTGATGCGTTGGTTCAGGCGACATAATTAATTCTAAATCTCTGTTATAGTAGAATAAACAATAAATTTGATAATTTATATTGATATTTATAAAATAAGTAGTATTATAATTTTTTAGTCCCTTAATTGGTGTTACATATCTAAGGGTCAGTTTTTCAACCCAGGGTTAAATTATTTCAATCATTGTGAATGTATATCTCTATGAGATATATGGGTATTAGGGTGGCCCAAAAAAACCGACTATTTTTTTTTTAGTCTTGAGTGAAAAAATGTTAGTTTCTAATGTTTTAAGAGCCCTCTCCAAAGGACAGCTCAAAAAAAAATTTTTAAGAGGTCGCTCCAAATTTTTTAAAATTTCAAAAATCGAATTTTTTTTTTTTTAATTTTTTTTTCTCGTTACGGTATAATTTTATAGATCAAAAAAAATAAATTTCTGAAAGTTTCAGCTCAAAATTTAAATTTTGAAAGGTCGCTCATAATTTTTTTTTTTTTTCTTTAATTAGTCATATCGCCAGCTTTAACTGTTGGGAGTGATACGGTGGGGTTTTTTTGGTTTGTAAAAATCTCAACTTACGCGGCAAGGGTCAAATCTCAACCAAGTTGGTTTCTAAGACCAGCTTGGGATTCGAAGGTCGCTCGAAAAAATCTAAACTAATGCACTAATAAATTGAAAAAAATTATGAGCAACCTTTCAAAATTTAAATTTTGAACTGAAATTTTCAGAAACTTATTTTTTTTAGTCTATAAAATTATACCGTAACGAGAAAAAAAATAAAAAAAAAAGTTCGATTTTTGAAATTTTAAAAAATTTGGAGTGACCTCTTAAAAATTTTTTTTTGAGCTGTCTTTTGAAGAGGGCTCTTAAAACATCAAAAACTAACATTGTTTCACTCGAGACTAAAAAAAAAAAAATAGTCGGTTTTTTTGGGCCACCCCAAAGGGTATATATTCACAATGATAAAATAATTTAACCCTAAGAGACAATTGATTTTTTTTTTTGGAAAGATGTTAATTCCTTAAAAAGTTTTTAAAATTGATTGGTTATAATATTTAAATTTGACCCGCAAAATTTTTGTCAACTATAATAGCAGGTTAATCTTAAAAATATAGAACGTTGCGAGTTATTAATTTACATAAATAAATGACACTTAAATCAGTAGACATCTGAGTATTTTTATAACAAATCAATTATGATAAAAAAAAGACTTCTGAAAATTCGCATTTATAATTTTATTTGATTTCTACGTGTAAAATTCTTCTACTACATTTTTTTCACAATAATTCAATTGTTATAAAAATCTAATAAATTTTAAAGATGTCTGTTGACCTCAGTGTCATAAAAATAAATACCAATAGGTAAACAAAAATTTCTTAACAATATGTTAGACAGTAATGGGGAATGCAGGACATTTCAATAAGCGTATAAAGCTGCCTCCCTGATAATAAGTGAAAATTGAAACACAAAGATTTAAATATCCAACCTTCTTCCAAGGTGTGTACACTATTTTTCACTATTTACATTTGTTATCGAAATTTTTATTTTTGTCTTATGAATTACGAAAATATACATCAAAACAAATTCACTTGTCACTTTTAAGGTGTGTTTGCATTTTTGTCGCCGACCCTTTAAGTTAGGTACACACAGTGTTGGCAAACAAACTCGTGAAAAATTATTAGGGTATCAGGGCCGTAAAATTATGGTATTTTCAATAAAATTATTGTACATTTTAAGATTAGATTTGATCGTCGCCTGAAAGCTTTAGTTTAAAAGAGAGTCACTGAAGTAATTTTATTTAAATGATATTCCGACAATTATTGAACAAAATTTTTTAAAAATGCAATTTTTCAGTCAAATATCTATATTGGCAGGGTGTGAAGTATATGGTGGGGAGGGCTGGCGCTGACTACCACTTTTACGTGTAAATCTTACGGGAAGAGCATGATTTAACGCTAATGGCGACCACTGGAACTAAATTACTCCGTTTGATTTAACATAGGAAAAGCATGAAAAATGAGGGCAGCACCATCGTGCACCTGGCCAATACTTGAAAACTCACTCATATGTAGTTATTGGTAAGGCGGGAAATTTGACTCAAACATCTTATTAGTTTCATTAAGATCGTGCTAATGAAAATAATTAAGATCATGTTAAAGAATAATGATGTAAACATAGTTTATTATTGATATTTTTGTTATTAAGCATTAAGCATTCAATGATATTCATTTATTTCCAGAAACTTTTTCTTTCAGTCGTATATTTAGAATATAGCGTATAAAAATACATACATACATAAAACTTAATACGTATTTATATTTTGTGAACGTTTGTAACCGTATTCGGAAAAAATACATGGCGCTGACTGTACACTCGTTTCCATAAATGCTTGTGAACTTTGTGAACCTGGCACCTGAAAATCCATTTTTCTTGTTTTTTTACTAGCTAATCCTTTGCTTGTCGTTTGTTTTTCATTGTTCTTTAAATCCTAACACAATTAAGCTGTACCGCTTTTTTTTTTAAATAATACTCTGCGTTCAATTTCCATTTTCAATCACAAAACGCTCCATAAGCGACACCAACGGGGAGCTTGGCATTATAGAAGCATATTAGAGATTAGCTTCCATTTAACTTAAGTTTTTAAGTTCAGACTCCTTTCTCCTATTCTCTATGGTTTTAATTGTGTACAAAATAGGTATACTCTCAATGCCCAATGCTTAGTTCAACCAAATACGACCAGCAAATCAATTGCTTATGGTCATAGTTGAGTTTTACCCAAGGGGTTGATATTTTTAAAAGTTTTAATTGCTTAATTGCAATTACAGATTTATAAATAAAAAACAATTTTTTACCGTTATAAAAATAATCATGGGTGTTGATGTCGAAGTTATATCCCCAGGAGATGGTAATTATTATTTTCTTCTAATTCTTAATTGTAATAGTTGTATGTAATTTAATTTATAGATTATTTTATTTTAGTGCACCATTAATATACTCGTCTGTAATTTTTTCTATGAAATTCAAAATTTTAACAACTTTCTAATTCTTTGCAAAAGTAAAAAAGTGCTATTCGGCAGCCGAAGTAAAAGTAGATTTCCTACTTGAATAAAATCAAAACACTGAGAATACAAATACTTCAATCACATTGACAGAATCCCTTTTCCTTAAGTAACGAAAAACGAATGCACTAGTAAAATTTCATTAAATACCTACAGACGAAGAGGTTATTTTCAGTCTAGGAGCATAAAATGGCATTCAAATTAAAGCTCGCTTAATGAGATTGAAAATGCAATTTACAAAAAATTCGATAAGTTATTTCATTCAAAAATTATCCGTGAAAAAAAAAATGCCAAAATATAAATTTTTACGATTTTGAAAATTTTGAAACGCTGGAATTTCTGAACTACTTGACCGATTAAGCTCATCTTTTCTTTGAACTTGACCTTGGTATTTTTCGTCTAAAAATTAAGTATTTTGAGTTCGGAAAAGATCCATTATGAATTGGAGACGCTACCGTCCGGACAGGCCACGTTATATATATATATTTTTTTTTTTTTTTTACAAAAAAAAATTTTTTTTCAAATTTTTTAATTTTTTTGTTTGTCTTTTTAATTTTGAAATTAATTTTTTTTATGGTTTTTTTTTTTACTATTTATCTATTATTGGCGGTGTTATGAGATGATATCTGAAAATATAACATACATTATGATCATAAAAAATTGAAGTCAAAATTTGAATTTCTAGGTTTAATTTTATTTATGACTTTTGCAAGGTTTTTTTTTTTATTTTTTTCGGGGTCTAAATATTTTCCAAGAATAAGTCTCAATTGAGCTAGAAATCAGTTTCATTGTAAGAGATTTATCTGTATTTGGCATAACGCAATGATACTTTTGTGCACCTGTGATAGTTTTAGCTTTAGAATAATGTATATAGGTCATTCCATGCCAAATCACCTGATTTTAAAAATATATTTTTTTGATCCGGTTGAATTTTTTTATATGTTTTTGTATATATTAAGACACCTAATCCTAAATTTTGAGCCCTTAATTTTCAAAAACCTTGTAGATACGAATTTTTGAAAATCGCGAAAAAATAACGATGAGGTAATTTTCAGAAATTCATAACTCCTGATTAAATTATCGTAATTTCATTTTGCAAGTGGCTATTTTCTTCGTTTTTAAATGTAGTTTTAAAAAAAAAAAATTTTTTTTCACTATTTTTTTTTACATTTTAACTCAAATTTTGACTTTTTTTGAAGACCGACATTTTTAATTTTCTTGCAAAAAATATATGTTTCACTAGACTGTAAAACAAATTTTTTAAGCCCATTGTCAAATGGGGATTCAAATATCTCCGATTTTTTAAACAACTTTTTCGAATTTTTTTAATAAAAAATTCGAGTTTTTTAAAGATTTTTTTAATTTTTCACCAAAATTTCAATGTAAATATGGACAAATAATATTTTCCTACTGTGCCAATGATATAAATTACAACCTTTTATTGATATGTTGCGACAAAAATTTGATGACAGAGTATTTTTAACCCAAAAAGCAAACGAAGGCTCTTTTTCTATACCTAGCATCATTGCCCGGGAAAAAATGATCAGACCTGATTAGACATGAACAGGCATGAGCCTCCTTCAGGCATGAAAAATGACCATGCCTGATCAGACATGGTCAGGTCTGAAAGCCTATCGTTACTTTTGAGTAATTATTTTGCTTAATTTTATGGATATAATAGTACTTAATAGAGTCATATGCAATTCTCTATAATGAATTAAAATAAAAAAAAATGATTACATATAATTGTACGGCTGTAACACCAGCAGTCGACCATTCAACTACTAATCACGCTCAATGCTGCTTAACTTTGGTGATATCCGTGCGCCTTGAAGTCCCCGCTTGCTGTGCTGCTATCTTATGTGACAACAATTCTATGAAGTACATAGCGTATCAAATAAGTTTATCATAAATATAAGATAAAAATTGATTTTATAATATATTTTGATAGGGTAAAAGACCCCATTAGTGGCGGGGACCCCATTACTGACACTTTCTTTGATTTTGGTACTTATTGAATTAATAAAATCATTATTTTTAATAATGAATATATTATTTCTAATCTTTAAGATCTTTAGATCAAAATAATGTTTAATTTTTATTCCAATTAGAACCTTTTTTCATTGGAAGAAAAAGTGCCACTAATAAGGGGTAAAGGTGCCACTAATGGGGTCTTTTACCTTAGTCCTAATTTATTTATTTAATTAACCGAATCTCATTATAACATCACATTTATTTAAATAATAAAATAAGTAATGATTTTAATATTAGGCAGGAGCAAAGCAGACCAAAACATTCAATAGGAAATGTAACAAATTTTTATTATCCGTTTAAAAGTTATTCCATGAAAAGGACTTTTGAAAAAAATTTTTTTTGTAGTTTTTTTTGCGATTTCTGAAAATCTACCGGTCCGAATCGTTCCAAAGTATATTCAAAATCTAAGTTCACTCAAGCCTTTCCGGGATATCAGGCGTTTTGATCCCCCGACAAAATATCCCCAAGACAAAAATTACCCGACAAAATATCCTTCAAATTCGTTATAGTTATCGAAAATTTAAATAAAAGAAAAAAATTATCAAAAGGCGCAATGATAAAAGGGCACAACACGATAACAAGCGTTTATTTTAGTCTAATGTCGAATAAACACACACAAAAACCGTGTTAAAAGGGCGCAACACTATCACCCGTGTTTGTGTTTGTCTAATGTCGAATAAACACACACAAAAACCGTGTTAAAAGGGCGCAACACTATTACCCTTGTTTTTGTATGAATATACATACACAAAAATTATGATTATAAATTGATTAAAAATATAAATGAAATTTTTTGATAATTTCTTTTGCCATAATTTGTAAAAAATTATGTGGCTATTTAGGATATTTTGTCGGGTAATTTTTGTCTTGGGGATATTTTGTCGGGGATATTTTGTCCGGGGATATTTTGTCGGGGGATCAAAAATCATGGAACCCTTTCCGGATGGCATCAACCGCGATCAAATCGGTCAAGCCGTTCAAAAGTTACGAGAGGTTTACATACATCCACACACTCTTTTTTGAAAACTCGATTTTTATAATTGTTAAATAATAATTTTTAAAATTCTAATAACAATCAATGCTTATGACTAATGCTTATCATTTTGTAAATTTTCTTTTACCTAAATATTTTTTTTTACATCTAATGACGGCTTAAAAAAAAAAAATTGTTAATTTAACAAAACGATGTTGATTTGGTTTAATTGTCCATTGAGCTTAATATTAATGAATAACAACCTGAGAGCTTAATTTGTTCTGATTTCAGGTCAAACCTATCCAAAAACGGGACAAGTCGTTGTGGTTCATTACACAGGTATCTCCACATATTGTTTTATAATTTAGTCTTTCGTAAGTCCATATGATGTTATCAGAATCAAACGATATTATTTTATTTGACAAGTATCCATTAAAGTGTTTTACAATACGGATAGAAAGATTTTCTATTTTCATTTTTCATAGTCTCGCATATATTTATTTTCTTAAGCAGATATTAAAGTTTATGAAATTAATTTTAACTTACACTGTTACAATATTATTTATAGAAGTTTCATTCACTTTAAATTATCTTTTGTAATTTTTCGTTTAACTTAATTTGTAAGTAGCAATATTTAATGAAAAAATTTTTTTAATTAACTCGGGTATAGTGTACGTTCCCTGATAAAAAAAAAAGTATTGAGACAAAGAAAAAAATATTGAAAAGTATTGGTTTTCTAGTCAATCCAATACTTTTTCCTTTGTCCCAATACTTTTTTTTATTCAGGGTTTTATTTGTGAAGAAACTTTAAATTGATTGAGTAGTTTCAAATATATTCTGCATACAAAAAAACAAATTTTTTCGTGTAGTATGAACATAAACAAATAAAATTTTGGCTAGTTCTATTCAGTTTAATTTTATGAAATCAATATGTATTAACAATATTTAAATAAACAGGTACATTTACAAATGGTCAAAAGTTTGACTCTAGTCGTGACCACGGAATGCCATTCAAATTCAAAATTGGAAAGGGTGAAGTAATTAAAGGATGGGATCAAGGAGTTGCTCAGATGTCAGTTGGCGAGCGTGCAAGACTTACTTGCTCACCAGACTTCGCATATGGAAGTCAGGGCCATCCTGGAATATATCCTTTGATATTTAAATATTAATTTTTGGTTTCGTTGGATAGTAATAAAAAAAATAAAATTTATAATATTTATTCCTTGACAGAGATACAATATTCCACCAAATGCAACTCTAATATTTGATGTAGAGTTACTCCAAGTTCAACCTTGAACTACTGTAAAGCCGTTACTTCATGAACAAAATTCTCTTCAACAACAGTTCCTTTAATCAAGAATATTCGATGAAATAATGCTTTTGATGTTATTTATTAATAAATTGTCACACCATGTATAAGCCTGCGTGTCTGCTTCATTCGGCCATCTATTCTTACATTTATTATGATAATGATGATAATATTAATGATGATTTCTTCTTTACACCTGATTATTTTAATCAATTTTTTATTATTTTATTCGAAATGCTAATACCTACTCCAAAAATTTCCAAAGTAATTAAATCATAAGCAAAAAAATTTTTTCAGTAAACTTTAAAGATTTGAAAATTATTAATCAGTATGGTGAATAAAATTCTTTTCTAAAATATTTTTTTAATTATACCCTTATTGACAAAAAATTTCACACGCGTAACGAACAACGCTCTTACGTTAGTTTTTAATTGGAGTTCATTGATTATATATTCTTTATATATATTCTTTATTTCATCAACGCTGCGTTTGGTTCGATGTCTTAAGTGACTCTGATAGTAAAAAATTTATCTGTTTGCGTCTGAGGGATGCCATTTTTATATGCACTTGTACAGTAGAACCTCGATAAGTCGAACCTCGATAACTCGAAAACCTCCGTAACTCGAAGAAATATTTCATCCCCTTCCCTTCAAGCCATAAAACCTCCGTTGCTCGAAATTTTTACCCTCTATAAGTCGAAATAATTAGTGAGTCCCTACAAGCTATTTCTGTACATTTTTACCCTCCATAACTCGAATACACACACTTGGACCTCTTTATCTCGAATTTTAAGTTATTACCGTATTTAAGTATCTGATTAGGATTACCAGTTTTACGAAATGGTAATGGAATTTATAGCTGACGTCAGGTTCTCTGTTGGCGATTGTAAAATTATCATACCCTTAGACTTAGTTACGATTCACTGCAATACACATCAATTTTGACAGCTCTACGTGAAAAGAAATTGATAAATAATGAGTGTAAAACGTAAACTTAAAACTCTTACTCTTTCTGAAAAACTACAAGTGCTCGAAGCAGTGAAGACTAGTAAAAAAAAAAAAGGATGTTGCAGAACAATTTGATATACCTTTAAGTACTCTTTCGACAATAATAAAAAATGAAGTAGATATAAGGAAGAAAGTTGAGAGTGGTAAAAGTTTGTCGTGTAAAAGACGGCGAATTTCTGAGTTTCCCGGTTTAGAAGAGTGCTTATTGAAATGGTTTAAACAGTGTCGGCATGAAAATATAAGTATTAGTGGACCATTATTACAAGAAAAGGCAGAAATATATTCGACGTCTTTAGGATTTTCTGATTTTAGAGCAAGCAATGGATGGCTGGAAAAGTTTAAACGTAGGCATGATCTTGTTTTCAAAAAAGTTTGCGGGGAAAGTGCAAGTGTAAATGTTGCAACTTGTAATAAATGGACAAATGACAGATTGAAAGATTTTTTACGTGATTTTGAGCCTGAAAATGTCTTCAATGCTGATGAAACAGCTTTATTTTATAAATGTCTTCCCGACAAAACTCTAACTTTTAGAGATGATAAATGCCACGGTGGTAAGCATAGCAAAGAACGCTTAACAATTTTACTCGCTGCAAACATGACAGGTACAGAAAAACTCTCACCTTTAGTGATTGGGAAATCGAAAAAACCTCGTTGTTTTTCAAAATGCAAATCTCTGCCATTGAAATATGAAGCGAATACTAAAGCATGGATGACTTCTGCAATCTTCAGAGACTGGCTCATGGGTATCGACAAGAAAATGACTAAAGAAAAAAGAAAAATCCTATTATTTCTAGATAATTGCATGGCACACAACGATATTCCTCAAATGACATCAGTAAGAGTAGAGTTTTTACCTCCAAACACGACATCAAAATTGCAACCGATAGATCAGGGCATTATAAAAAATTTCAAGTCATTATACCGTAAAGAAGTAGTCAGGAGTATGTTGCAAGATTTGGAAGAAAAAAGAGATTCTCGTATAGATGTATTGCAAGCCATGCGGATGGCCGATAAAGCTTGGCGAAATGTGACTGCTACTACCATCAAAAACTGCTTTGCTCACTGTGGATTTTCTTCATCAATAATCGAAGAAGAAGTTGAGGATATATCTCTGCAACCTCCTGAAGAATGGGATACAGTGGCGCCTAAAATATGTTTCGAGGACTTTATTATATGTGACGATGGAGTGATGACTGCTGGAATATTATCCGACGAAGGGATTCTTAATTCAGTATCTGAAAGTAATGAAAGAGATGAAGATGAGATAGAAGATCCAAGTAATATAACATGCACTCAATTAGTTTCGATCAAAGAGGCTAGAATAGCATTAAATACGTTACGTAATTTTATAGAACAAACAAGTAACTCGGAAGAAAAAGAATTTTCTGCTCTTTGTATTTTAGACAATGCAATAGATAAAGAACAGCCTTATTTAAAGCAAAAAAAAATAACTGATTTTTTCCAATAAGTTTTTTGAATAAATATGTTGATTATATATGGAACTTGAATTTTTGTATGTGCATGTATTCGACTTTTTCCTTTCTGTTTGTCACCTCCCTAACTCGAAACCCTCTATAACTCGAAAACTCTATAACTCGAATTTTTTTTGCTCTCCCTTGGAGTTTGAGTTATAGAGGTTCTACTGTATAATGTTTTACTCTACAGTCGTTTCTTTAAGAAAATTGCATGCGCGTCGTGTATCGCACATGCGCAGTGACTTAGCTTTACATACATAATACGTCTTGTACATATTATGGAGGGTAGAAGTACTTCTACCTTCCATAGTACGTATTAAATACGTTTGTCGTAATAATTTTATCAACTATCAATCTTCTTAATTACCCTACCGTAGCGGCTGAAGCTGTTTTACTGTAGTATCTGTATTTGCCGGTGTAGCGTATATAGCAACGAGAGAAACCATAAAAAAGATAAATCAGCTATCTCTGGGGTTGAAATCTGCATCTGACCAGTGCCCATTTCATAGGTTCGACATTCTACGGATCTGATCGTTGAGACATAATATCAGCTAATTCGATTTTTTAGTAATAACTAAGAAATTACTAAATAAAATTTGGCAAAATCCAATAGTGCACGCCTCATAATGCTCATTTAATTTTCAAAAAAAAAAAAACAAGTCGTATCACCGACTTATGAGAATTAAATGGACAATTCAACAAAATTTGCTTTAATCATAAATTGAAGTATTTCGCGCCTCTTTTTGTCTAAGACTAGCTGACCCGGTGAACTTCGTATCACCTACAATATATTTTATTACACCTTTAGAACAGCGATTATCAATCTTTAAACTCTAATCTACTTTGATAAAGAATATAAATACTGGCTGCATGAAGTGCAGTTAGAATTTTGTCAAGTTATTAAATGAAACTCGCTTCTCATTATCGCCTGAAAATCAAGATCCCAAAAAATGAACACTGAATTTATGAAATTTTTTTTTATCCATATATACAGTAGATAGACGATTAAAAATTTTAGATCTGTTGATTTCCTTACCTGAACTTTCGAGGTTTTCAAAAATTTTATTCTTTCGAAAACATCCCTGAACTATAGCGAACAAAACAATAAGAAAATTGTTGAAATCGGTCCAGTCGTTTTTGAGTTTTAGCGAGACTAACGCACAGCTACTTTTTTTTTTTTATTTATAAGATGAGAAAAATAGGGTGCAAGTGCACCACTAAATAGATAACCGAGCGCCAATACGTTGCTTAAGGTAGTACCTCCACGAAAAGCATATTTCAAGAAACTTATGGAATTTTTTTTATCGAAAGATAAATCCGTACCACTCGAGTGATGCAAATAGATTTCATACTAACTTTACCATCTCTCCATACCTCTACGTGTAGAAGATGCAATTTCAAAAATTAATTACTCAAAAACGGCGCGGTGGCCTCGATGTTGGCCGAGCGGTTCAATGCGTTGGTCCATTCGTACAATTCATGTGGCAAGGCGCGGGTTCGATCCCCAGCGAGTCCAAAGATTTTTCACATTTGTTGATATCTTTCGATTCTCTGAGGTTCGCTCCAGCGCCGACTAGGTTAAGGCAAGTTCCTAACCAACACAGCTACCCACCACACAATCTACCAACGGCCGAATAGGAAAAAATACCCAGAGCCAAAAGAATAATAATAATAATAATAATAATAATAATAAAAACGGTGCGGTGAATTGATCTGAAATTTTGGTGGTGAATTATTAATATATTTATCTTTCGATAAAAAAAATTCCATAAGTTTCTTGAAATATGCTTTTCATGGAGGTACCACTTTAAAAGAACAGCCTTATGTAGTCGCTCGATTCAAGCGACAAATTAGGTCACGTGACATAATTTTAAATTTCCAGCAACTTCAAAAAATTCAGCGACCAAGTCGCTGCGACAATCAGTAGCGACTTTTTTGTACTTTATTTCATTATTCTTCTGTATCTCCTTATTATTCTCCTGTGGTAATATGATAATAATAATAATTATAAATATAATAATTATGATAAGGGAGGGATGCATACTGTCGGAGATAGTAATACTCACACTGCGCTGATCGTCGATTCATCGCGCATGCTAGTTGCGCCGACACATACACACGTATGCATGCATATCGGCATATACGTTTTCTCTAACCATTTTCGCAGCTAGTCGTCAAGTCTATACACATCGTGTAATATATATATGAATTTATAGATTCGAGTTATTTTTTCATAGAAAATTTTAAGCCCATACTAAATTAAAATAACAGATTAGATAATTTTGCTTTTTGAATTTCAAATCTAATAATTAACTACACTGTGTATTACATTTAGAAAAAATTGTTGCGTCATCCTGATGCATGATAGGTAAATATTTTTCAAGTGACATTTTGATAAGCAAAATAATTATGAATATATTCAAGTATTTTAAGTTAAAAATATCCAAGTATTTACTGAACTAACTATAGTCATTCTATAAGAGTTATGAAATTTCAACATACCATGTAATAGACGTGTAATCTCTATAGCTCATCATGGCAGAAATTAGTTTCTTGATTATTTTGTACACCAGTATTATAAGTAAGTCGATTGAAAAAATTATACATGGTATAATTTCATTTTGTGACAATATTTATTATTTAGTATCTGCTGAACACTGTGTACCTCGGAACTTTGGAGATGATAGTAATGTTTGTGTATGCAATGCTACATATTGTGACTCAGTAATATTACAACTACCTCATGATGGACAGTTCAGAATATACGAATCTAGTAAGAGTGGTCAACGATTACAATCAAGACTTGACCATTTCGATACAATGATGGAAAACGGTATAAAACTTTATTTACAACTTGAAAAAAAATATCAAGCTATTCATGGCTTTGGAGGTGCATTTACTGATTCCGCTGGAATTAATATTGAGAGTCTCAGTGATTCAACTCAAGAAAAATTATTGCAGTCAGTATATTTTATATAATAATACATTGGTAAATTTTCATAAGTTCAATATGTCTAAAAAACAATTTCATTTTTAGATCATATTTTAGTGAAGGTGGAAGCAGATATAATTTAGGCCGCGTTCCGGTTGGAGGTACTGATTTCTCTACAAGGCCTTATACGCTTGACGACACTCCGGAAGATATTTCATTGAAAAATTTTTCATTAACAAAAGATGATACAGATTACAAGATACCATTTATGAAGAGAGCTCTTGAAATAAATAATGAATTGAATTTTATAGCTGCTTCATGGACAGCACCCGCGTGGATGAAAACAAATAATAATTATACTGGATTTTTAGGATTTTTAAAAAAACAGTACTATCAAACATATGCTGAATATTTAGTTAAATTTTTGGAAATTTATAAAAGTAGAGGTCTAAAAATTTGGGCTATATCTACAGGGAACGAACCTGCAAATGCTTTTGTACCAGAATTAGTCAAATTTAATGACATGGGTTGGACTCCTAATACAGTAACACCATGGGTTATTAACAATTTAGGACCAACTATAAATAATTCGACATCGAATGAAACAATTATTTTAGCATTAGATGATCAGCGGTTTGATTTGCCTTGGTATATTCAGGCAATGTATGAGTATAGTAACGAAATTGACAAATATATTGCTGGTATTGCTACCCATTGGTACATGGATAATTATTTTTCAATTGATTTATATGATCGAACTCATTCTGCATTTCCAAACAAGTTTCTTCTTATGACAGAAGCATGTACTGGAAGTGCATCATGGGACATTCCAAAAGTTCGATTAGGATCTTGGCAAAGAGGCGAAAGATATATCACAAGCATCATAGATGTAAAATTAAAATTTTTTAATTTTATATTTAAATATTATATCAGAATGATTCATTAAAGTCACTTCTTACTTTTTATTAAGAATAACGAAAAATTTTTCTCATAATATAAAAAAGACATTTGACAGAGGCTAAAGACTATATTTAAAAATGCTTCAACGAACTTATCAAAACAAAATTCATCAAGTAAGGACTCAAATTTCCTACAATACTTTCTGAGATTAGAAAACGGGAAAAAAAAATTGGGAAACGGTTGACCCTAAAGGCCATCCCTGCAACTTCCCGCTAATTTCATACTTAAGCGCTCAAAATTGCACTTATTACGTTTTTGTAGTTTTTTTGGTGCTAGGTTGTAATTGTGTTGCGCCCTTTTAACAAGGTTGCTGTGTGTGTTTATTCGACATTATACCAACACAGAAGCTTGTAATTGTGTTGCGCCCTTTTAACAAGGTTGTTGTGTGTGTTTATTCGATATTATACCAACACATAAGCTTGTAATTGTGTTGCGCCCTTTTAACAAGGTTGTTGTGTGTGTTTATTCGACATTATACCAACAGAAGCTTTCTACCGTGTTGTGTCCTTTTATAATGTTTGTTGTGTGGGTTAATGATGAACCTGTATATCTAGTATAACTATACTAGTATAACTAGTATATAGTATACTAGTATACTAGTATAACAATAAAAATTAATAGAGTTATTAAAATGGGGGGCTCCGCCCCCCAACCCTCGCCAGGGCTTCGCCCCTGGACCCCATCAAAAATTGGACCCCTCCAGTGGAGATCAATTATCGTGCGGATCAATCGTCTGCGGATGAGTGGTCGCGTCACCGATTAAAGTGGGGAGCTCCGCCCCCCAATCCCCGACGGAGCTTCGACCCTGGACCCCCAGAAATTATTTCTTTTATATCAGAAATAATTTTCCTCAAATTTTATTTTTGTCATTAGTTGTTTTGTCGGAGTTATTTTGGGATAGAGTTATTATGTCAGGAGTAATTTTGTCCGGAGTTGTTTTTGTCGGGAGTTGTTTCGTCCGGAGTTATTTTGGTACGGAGTCGTTTTGGACAGTAGTTGTTTTGACCGGAGTTATTTAGGGCGAGTTGTTTTGACCGGAGTTGTTCTGGACCGAGCTGTTTATGACGGGCACCAGTTTTTTTGAGAATTCTCAGAATCTACAGGTTCAAATCGGTCCATACTTAGAATTGGCCGTACTTAGAACTGCCTGCTATCTTTAAGCGGAAAACGCTTGATAAATTTTTTATCATAACATTTTAAGCTTTTCGAGCACAAAAATAAAACCTATAAATTTCTCTTAAAGCTCGAAAATTTAGTAGTTGTATTAATAGAACACTTTTTTGAAAATTTTGAACAGACACACACATAGTGACATCGTGAAACCGATTAATTTTTCGTATCTATTGTCTATTTCTATGTCTATTGCATTGCAGTTTTTAACTTCCCGCTAAGAAAATCAATGATGACCTTTAGGGTCAACTGTCATCCTAATTTTTAGTAGATTTCATAAAAATCTAACTATCGCAGCCGTCCTCATGGCACAACTTTTGAAAAATTTAGTCATTTTCTGACTCAGTTTGTCGAGCTTAGTCAGAAAATGTATATAGTTCAAAAGTTTATATATATATATATATATATTCATACGATATAACGCGGCTTGTCAGCACGATAACTATTTCAATTTATAACCGATTCTTTTCAAACTCAACATGCTTCATCTATCGATCAAGACCAAGGTTAAGTTCGAAGATGAGCTTAATTGGGCGAGTAATTTGGAAATGACAGGATTTCGAAATTTTGAAAATCGTAATAATTGATGTTTTTACTACTTCAACTTGGTATAATTACTGAAGTATACAAGATGTCAAAATTCGGTAAAATGCATCGTAAAGCTCTTTTAATTATAAGCTTCAATTTTCACTACTCAGAAGTGGTAATAGCCTCAATATTACTCCTTTTAGAGTTCGTTTAATGAAACAGTTTTACTGTTGCAGCCGTTTTAGTTTTTTTTTTTTTTTCGTATACTATCCTAGTAGTTTTTTTCTCTATTCATCATGAAATCTACTCCCGTTTCGGCTGCCGAATGGCCTTTTTTTTTTTAACTTCCCGCTAAGAAAATTGAAAATTTTCAAAAATCGGGAAGTTATTGGTTTTACCTCGTTTTTCGAAAATCGAGTTTTTTTTTTTTTTTTTTTTTTTTTTTGTATACTATCCTAGTAGTTTTTTTCTCTATTCATCATGAAATCTACTCCCGTTTCGGCTGCCGAATGGCCTTTTTTTTTTTTTAACTTCCCGCTAAGAAAATTGAAAATTTTCAAAAATCGGGAAGTTATTGGTTTTACCTCGTTTTTCGAAAATCGAGTTTTCATCAGATCTTGACGTTTTAAGGTTTTAGAAAGTGCCCGTGCCCGTGCCCGTGCCCGTGTGTGTGTGTGTGTGTGTGTGTGTGTGTGTGTGTGTGTACGGCCGTATGTAAGCCTCTTATAACTTTTGAACGACTCGACTGATTTCATCGCGGTTGACGACATACCAAAGGGTTTGACTAAACTTAGATTTTGAATACAATTTGGACCGATTCCAACCGGTAGATTTTGAGAACTCTCCAAAAAACTAAAAAAAAAATTTTTTTCAAATGTGGTTTTTTTAATAACTTTCAAACGGCTTTATCTATCAGTTCCACAAACTAATCAGCTCTTAGTATCAAAAAACCACGTCGATTGCCACCAAGCTGGTCAAAATCGAATGATTTGTTTGTGAGTTATGGTTAACGAAAAAAATCGAGATAAATGTTTTTTTCAGAATTTCTATGTCATTTTCAGTCTGACCAGTTGAAGCTCCAAGAATCTTTAAAAAGCTCAAATAGCTGCGTTGAATGCCGTAAAATTTTGGAATTTTCAATTTATTACTTAACGTTTGTCAAAGCAAAAACTCAAAATTTTTGCCACAACAGTCATCTCTTTGATCTCGAAGAGCTCAAAAACAAAATGAGTGAAATGTTGAGCGCTTAGGTATAGAGTTAGCGGGAAATTGCAAGGATGGCCTTTAGGGTCAACCGTTTTCCTAATTTTTTTATACAGTATATCAATATGTTATAGATGTGAAAACGATGAAATTTATGGAAAATTTTGCTTTCTGTACCCGGAAGAGTCATTCCGCTGGATCATTTTTAATTGAAAAATTAAAGAAACAAAAAAAAACTCGAATTCGCTTCGTGATTTAAACGATTTTTGTAGATTGACCCTATTGTTTTCAATATAGAAAAAAATTTGCAATATAAATATTTCTCAAAAGTAATTATTTTTATATTTTATTTTTCGACTAGTGACTGTTTTTGATAAAAATGTATAGCAAATTGAGTAGTATTAAGCTTTTGATTCTAAACTACTTTTTAACGCATAACAACTAAATTATAAAATACATTCTTCTTATCAAAACTTTTTCAAATCGTTATTTAAATTGAACTCGTAAAGTAATTGATATTTTTTTGTTATTATAAGTAATAGCAATAACACACTGAATTTTGGAAAAATTATTGATCACTTAATCCGATAAGAGTAATCGATACACATTATTTCAAAACATTTCAATTTTTATATGCCTAAAAAAAAAAAAATACTGAGTTTTGTACTATTTGCTCACTAAATATAACCAAAAGTTTAATAAAACATTTGGTTAGTTGAAAATACTGAATTATTAAGTGAAGCACTCATCTATAATTAAATGTCTTTTTTATACACTGTTTTTTGTTGTAGTATGTAAAAAATGAAAAATAACGATTTATTCTGATATAAGCTAGAATATAAAGTGGTAATTTTTTTATCAAAATAAACCGTAGGATTTAAATCATTGGGTCACTGGATGGGTGGATTGGAATCTTGTATTAAACGAAGAAGGTGGTCCTAATTGGGCTGGAAATTTTGTCGACTCTCCAATTATTGTAAATTCCAAAGAAGATGAATTTTATAAACAGCCCATGTATTATGCAATCGCACATTTCAGTAAATTTATTCCACGAGGATCTACTCGAATTGATCTTAGCTCTCACATTGACATTAGATCTGTTGCTTTTATTACACCAAATAATACTATTGTTATAGTGCTTTACAACATGTATGTACTTGAAAATTTTTTTTTTAAAAATATATTCAAAATTATCAGTTACGTCTGGGTCGTTTCACGCCAACTCAACCACTTTGATTTATACACAAATTCTTTTAATTTTACCGATATTTTATCATTTTTATCTATCTCACTCAAATTAGTTCTCAGAATTTTTGTCAACAATTTACTTAACTATCCTGAAAAATAGTAACTTTTTTTCAGTAAATTAAAAAAATTTTATGGAATTCTGAAAAACGCTTTTCCGAAAAAATAAAAAAATTTCTGTCTAATCAAAAGAAGTTTAAAAGTAGTCGATTTGGTGTCAAATACCTTATATATTTTAAAAATTTACGTATCACGTTTCTTAGGGATAATCAATCTAAAAATGTCACCATCGTCGATCCAAATAAAGGAAATATCAACTCAAAAGTTTCACAACAGACTATACAGACAATTATTTATAGAAAATGAAGAATAGAATAAACAATTTTCAGGTATTTTTATTTATAAAAACCTATTCTTACAATTACGATTGTTGATATTTTACTTAGGATAATAAGTTTTAGCAAATTTAACTTTTCTTTCATCATCAGGTCTCAAAGCTTTTGGTATATAATCTGGACAATGATTATCCAATCTACGTATAAATGGATTAATACCATAATCATAGTGGGTACGTTTTTTATCCATAGGTCTAGTCTTAAACATATGCTTGTAAATTCTTTGCCAAAGAAACAGCTCGGGCATCCGCCTGTTGTAAAAAAAAAAAAACAAATTAAAAAAGAACAGCTCACAAATTTTGTTAATTATTTTTCAATCGTAATAAATACCTGTGTCTTGGCCTTGATGACATTAAGTGTTTGTATCTTTTTTCCAACCAAATTCTTTTATCATCATCTTTTATATCTGCCACTTTTTGTTCTTCCACGCCCAAGTATGGTTTCATATTAATACCAACTCTTTCATGAGGAACGTTTATATAAAATTTAATCAAATTTCTTATAACCTCATCATTGAATCCTACTAATTTATTATTTTCGATTTTTTCATATAACTTGATAGGATCAGTAATCCAACATATATTTCTTTTTGGATTTTTGTCAGCGTGCGATTGATTAAAAAGAATTGTATTCAACTGATAAGCACTAAATGACCAATATTGACCATTAGTTATGATCATCTGGTTAACCAATGGATAAGTAATGTCATTGAATGTTGAAAATCCTAACGATAATCAACAATAATGAGTTAATATTATTAATAAACAGTATTAGTAGTAAAAATACAACAAAAGTAAAAGTTACCTAAATGACTAGCTTGGGATAAAAGCCAACCATAATTACTAAAAATAGCATGTGTTTTGAGTGCATCCACTTCATCATTAAATTCTTTCGATCTACCCAGTAAATATCCACGTTTATGATAAGAAATATAACCAAACTCACATGAATCTCCTGGCCAGAATCCAGGTAATGAAGTAATATGACGTCGTTTAAGAGATTTTCCATATGTTCTGGGGTCAAATTTAACTTCTGGAACTTGAAACTGTGGATTCTCACATTCAGTTACAGGTATTAATTCGTTTAAGGGATAATGGTGTCGGAGTTGTAATATTGGTGTTCCCAAATATTGAAATTTTCGATCTATCGGCTCATTTAGCGCTTCTTTACAATGATTTTTTTTTAATGATATCTTCACTTCATTAGTTGTATTAATGCCACCAAAAAACCAAGCTGCTTCTATTCTAGGGTCATAATCCATTTGAACATCTAGTAAATGTGGATAATCTTGAGCTAATACTGATGACATTAATCGGTTAACTTGCTTGGACACAACGGTTCCAATGAGGTCATCAACTTTACGTGAATCTTCATATGTTTTACTTTTTTGTTCCAAGGTCCGGCTAAGTAATAAATAAAAATTAATATGTTATACGCTATTGGAAAAAAAAATTTATACATTTCTTAGGTCTGAGAAAAGAGTACTTATATGAAAAATAATCGTGTAAAGATTGAAAGAAAACCTTTTAAAATTTCAAGATAATCATTTTAAGATCTTTTTCCAATTTTGAAATCATAATTAAGAGTGAGTTTTTCTGGTTTTAACGGACTTATAAGTAGAGTAAAGTCAAAAAGCTGTTAATTTTAAAAATAGTCAGAAATAAATTTATAGTTTTTATTTTTATTTTTAATTAAAAATATATTAAATAAAATAAAAATTTTATTTTTAAGGGGGAACACCACTGTGACGATCGAAAAAAAAGGTGATTTTCGGGAATTTTTCTGACAGGAAAAATAAAGGAATTTGGAGATCGGATTTTTTTCATTTTATTAACGGTACATTAAAGATTATTACCCTAAATTTTTATTAAAAAACATTTAATTATTACAAAGTTATTAACAATCTCGTAGAGCACGAGAAAAAATTTCCCCCTTCATGGTCGGTTCGATAACTCAAAAACGGATCATCTAAAAATAAAAACCCAAATTGCTTTGTAATCAGTAAGAATGTAGTTATCGTCGCACGTACGGAATTTTGAAAATTTTAATTTTTAAAAAAATGGCGACTGGTTGAAAATTTTCTCGCTACTCTTACTGTTTTTTTTTTTTTTGTTTTAACTCGGCTAAAAAAATCTTTAAAATAAAAATGTTTTTAATTCCGTACGTGCGACGAGAACTACATCCTTACTGATTAAAAAGCAATTTGGGTTTTTATTTTTAGATAATCCGTTTTTGAGTTATCGAACCGACCATGAAGGGGGAAATTTTTTCTAGTGCTCTACGAGATTATTAATAACTTTGTAATAATTAAATGTTTTTTAATAAAAATTTAGGGTAATAATCTTTAATGTACCCTTAATAAAATTAAAAAAATCCGATCCCCAAATTCCTTTATTTTTCCTGTCAAAAAAATTCCCGAAAATCACCTTTTTTTTCGATCGTCACAGTGGTGTTCCCTTTTAAATAAAAACTTTTTTGTAGTATTGGAAATGTTTTGAAACATGTTCATCTAAGAATTTTTTATAACAATCGAACTACATTAAGTGAATTTATTATAAGCTCATTTTTAATGAAATCAGATTGTTAAACTATGCAAGTCGTCAGCTATTGAATAAACCTAGTTGAAAACTATCAGTTTTTCAGATAAGTAGGCTAAAAATGAAACATACTAATAATTACAAATAATTATTTATTGTCAGGAATATTTTTCAGTAGTGTCATTCAAACCAAAATATAAATATAAACATAACAGAATTAGATACATACTTGCGGCCGGCTAATTCAAAAGCGACTCCTTGTTCGATTAATTCTTTCAGGTTTTCTATTAAATTATTCAATTTTTCAGTCGATATTAAATTATCATAATAAACAGGCAAGGATGACTCTTGAGAAATATACGTTCGAGTAATATATTGCGCTTGAGGTAACTCATTATAATAAACACTACCTTCGTTAATCATAAGACATTTAAATCCCCAATAACGAGGCATATTAAGTTTCAAACATTTTTCTTCTACAGTGGGAACTTGTTTTACTTGTTCATGCCAAAGATCATGCTTTCTTCTCCACTTTGCAACAAATGAAATATCAACAATTGGAGGATACAAAGGATTTTCAGCAACATCACTAATATTTGATGTTTTAGTTTGCAAATATCGACTGCTTATGGCTTGTAGCAAATATTTAATTCGTAATTTAGAAAGTACTTTTATCAATAACATTCTTGAGATATTTTCCTATAACTTAAATAATTTAATTTAACTGTTATTATTCTAATTAACCAATAGATGTGATTAAAATATTAAATATATTTAGGGACAGATAACCTTATTCGTCTAGTTTACAACTTCGAGCATGTGACAACATTTTAAGCTGGACTATCCCAACCATGTAGGTATGTGATTCGGGTACCCGTGCAATTAGAAAATATTATAAACATGAGTGTGTTCGTAGTAAACATCTATAAATTTTTAAAAAATCAATAATTAATTTATTTACTTCAAAAATAATATACTATACAAAATGCATTTAGAAATTTTAAAAAATTCTTTTTGAAAAAAAAGGGCCAATTTTTCAATCCGGGATAAAATTATATCCAAGATAGTGATTTCACACTCATATTCGAAATGCCAGTTGATCTCAACTTAAGCTAAATTGATGAGTGAGAAATTATTAGATGGCTACTTTTTGAAAATTTTAAAGTAACTTCAAAATTAATGATGGAAAAAAACATTTTTTTTTTTAATTGCGTAGAGTTTTTAAAAATTTCCAAATTCATTTTTTTCAAATTATTATTTGTTATGTGGTATGTGCTTAAATTGATTTTAATGCCATCTAGCAGCTACTCTTGAATACTGCACAGTGTTTAAAATTTAAATTGTTGAATTAAAGTGATGGATTTAAATACATTTTTTCCCTATATTCCGTTACTATGGATAAGAAAAAAAGAAAAATCAATTGTTTTCGAAAAAATCTAATTTTTTAATTAAAGAAGTAAATTATATAATTTTTTCATCGAATGCATAATTCGATTACAGATTCGACGAGAAATATTTTTCTAATAACCATTTATACTTTTATTCAATTGAAATATAAGATATAAATGATAGTAAATAATTAATGTTTTATTTTACTTTTTAATTAAATTATTTTAAAAATCTTCGTGGAGCAAATAATACTAATTTCAAACAATTTTAGATTGCCCATTTAATCATATAGCAATGATTGATCAAAAATTTACAGCAATTTTTTATTTTATACTAAATTTTTATGCATAATTCCAATTTTTAATTATTTTGTGTAATAATTCTCTTAATTATGTTTCAAATAAATTTGAGAATCAAAAAAATAAATTTTCGAAAAAAGACCTTACAACCAAGTTTTGGTGAAGATTTATATTAGTTAATTTAAAAATTTATTAATCAAAATAATTTGGAAAATAAAATTGATTACCTCTCTACTCTTAATATATTAATAACTGTGAAATGATATTCAACAAACTCCGATCACTATCTTGCTTGTTTTCTTTATACTGGAGTTATCCCTCCCAACATTAGATGGAAATTCGCCTTAAACAGTGAACGTGATCATTACACTGTCAGAATTTTTTTCAAGCCGGAATCTTGATTATTCAAGTTCTCAAGGACAACCGAGGACACAAGTTTTAAAGATATTTCTTACAGTTCTTGATAATTATCAAAAAAATTATTAACAAGATACGATAAAATGGATCTCAAAGAAAAGCTTACTGAAGAAAATTCTTGGAAACAATTAGAAGAATATTTTTTTGGTACTGGTTCTAAAATTAAAATTTCTGATTTATTCCAACAAGACCCTGAAAGATTTAACAAGTTTAGGTAATTAAATTTTAAATAGGGTATTTATCGTACATTTAAAATTATTACTGTATAAACATAGACATCACATTTGTTTTAAATTTAGTATTTATCTTCTTATAAATGCATGATGTAATTCGCTTAGCTATTGAATACACATATGTTAACAATAAATGACTGTCATTCATTTATGAATTTAGTCTAATACTCCAAACTCCTGATGATGGACCTATACTACTTGATTATTCCAAAAACCGAATTGATGATAAAGTTTTGAGTCTCTTATTTAATTTGGTAGGTTTTGAATTCAGCATTATGCATTGATTTATTTTTGTTACCCAACAATATTCGTAACAAAAATTAATGAAAAGGAATGTAATTATTTGTTCTAGGCACGAGCACGTCAAGTTGAGAAAGCACGAGATGCAATGTTTGTCGGAGAAAAAATAAATTTTACAGAAAATCGCGCGGTATTACATATTGCTCTTCGTAATCAGCAAAATACTCCTATTCTCGTAAATGGAAAAGATGTGATGCCAGATGTGAATGCTGTGTTACAACATATGAAAGAATTCACCGACCAAGTAAAATTAGACTTTATTACTATCTAAAGTAAAATGATCTTTAAACTAACTAATATCTAAGAATTTTTTGTCTTTTTTTTTTAAATATATAAATCTATTATATACAAAATAATAATGTATGCAGGTGATTAAAATTTGAATGGGAATAAATTAATTTTGTTATAGGTTATTACTGGAGAATGGAAAGGTTTTACAGGTAAACCAATTACAGATGTTGTTAATATTGGCATTGGTGGTTCCGATTTGGTAATGAAGCTGTGTGCTAAACTGCATTTGATAAATAGTGGAGATGGCATTTTAAAAATAAAATAATTCTAATTGTTTTATAGGGTCCTCTTATGGTAACTGAGGCATTGAAGCCTTACCACTGTGGACCGAGAGTTCATTTTGTGAGTAACATTGATGGTACGCACATAGCTGAGACTCTAAAAAAATTAAATCCTGAAACTGCTCTTTTTATTATTGCATCCAAAACATTTACAACTCAAGAGACGATTACCAACGCTACTTCAGCGAAATTATGGCTCCTAGAACACTTGAAAAATGTAAGCTTTTTCGTGTTATAAAGTATCTTTATTTTATCAATAACAAGTTCAAAAATATAGGAAGCAGCGGTAGCATCTCATTTTGTTGCATTATCAACAAACAATCAAAAAGTCAAAGAGTTCGGAATTGATGAAAAGAACATGTTCGGTTTTTGGGATTGGGTTGGTGGACGTTATTCTTTGTGGTCAGCAATTGGTTTATCAATTTCACTAGCTATTGGATTTGATAACTTCAAAAAATTATTGAACGGAGCAAATTTTATGGATCAGCATTTTCGTACTGCTCCATTACATCAAAATGTATTTTACAATTTACTTTATTACTATTATTATTACTATTCGATGTATACATGTAATCAATAGTATCATTAATATTTTTAGGCACCTGTCATTCTTGCTTTGTTGGGAATTTGGTACCACAACTTTTTCAAAGCTGAAACTCATTCACTCTTACCTTATGATCAGTATCTTCATAGATTTGCTGCTTATTTCCAACAAGGTGATATGGAAAGTAATGGAAAATATGTTACTCGTTCGGGGACGACTGTAAATTATACTACTGGACCAATTGTCTGGGGAGAACCTGGCACCAATGGTCAACACGCATTTTATCAATTAATTCATCAAGGTACTAGATTAGTACCAGCAGATTTCATTGCTCCTGTGCTATCTCATAATAAGGTACATCTAATATTTTTAAATCTGTACAACTATTTATTAATTCTCATACAAAATGTAACATCTAAATTTTTTTAATACAGGTTCAAGGTGATTTACATCACAAAATATTACTTGCTAATTTTCTTGCACAAACTGAGGCTCTTATGAAAGGAAAAAGTGTTGATCAAGCACGAGAAGAACTTCTAAGCTCTGGATTGAGTTCAGAACAAGTAAATTTCATACTGCCACATAAAATTTTTGAAGGTAATCGGCCAACAAATAGTATCCTGGTAAAAAGGATTACTCCCTTTACTTTGGGTGCATTAATCGGTAAGTTTATGTAATTATGATAAATATTTAAGTATTACTTACCACATAATTTTTATATTATTTTTTAGCAATGTATGAGCACAAAATTTTTGTACAAGGAATCATTTGGGATATAAACTCTTTCGATCAATGGGGGTAATGATTATGTTTTCATTATTTATCAACTTGTTTTATAGAACTGATTAAATATTAATAGATGATGAACTTTTTTTTCAGCGTTGAATTGGGAAAACAACTTGCTAAAGCTATAGAGCCAGAATTAAATAATAAAGATAAGATAATCAGCCACGACGCATCAACTAATGGTCTAATAGATTTTATCAAGTCCAACAGTTAAATAATACAAATTTCTGATTTTATTATATGGAGTTAGAATCATAGTTGAGTGTTTATTACTGAATTTCTTTATCAGCAATAGTTACCATAAAGTTGTACAATAAATGATAATTAATAAATTATTAATTCATATGTATTTTATATGTCTATAAAAAAAAAAACATTAAATTTTCTATATCATGTCTATTAAAAGGCCTAAAAGAATATAATGTAAACAGTGTTGTCATAAAATGTAAGAAGGGTTATTGTGTATACATGCATACATGGAAAAGAATTATAATTATATGTATGTTTCCATCAATATGTTTCCGCCTTTTTATTATCACATGTACTTACATTTGGGTGTTTCTATACCCGGTAACTACAATATAAATAATAGTTTTATTCAATAATGGTTCATTGAATCTCAAGAAAATTTATGAAAGTTTTAATTTGAATTTCTTCCGTAAAGCTTGCGAAAATATTTAATGATATTCGAAGACTAATGAATTATACAAGGAATTTTTAAATAAATTATTGAGGAATCTTCTTCAAATCACGGATGCGGCACGATTCAGGTAAGAAATTTTTCGACGACACTGACGTAGGACACAGTAGAATTGCGCATTGCGCAAAATGTTTCAGTAGACGTTTTACTTTAAAACTGTCTTATTGAAAATGTCTGCAAAATTATTCCAGATTAAAGTAGATACACATAATTGCTAAAAGGACATTTTCATTGGAGTCTTGTACAGATACTTGTATAAGACACTTTTCCGAGACAATTAATCCTCATGCATAAGTAAAAAACAATTTTTCATTGAAAATTAAATTTATATTATTTTATAATATTTATAAATAAAATTTTTTTCAAGCTGTTCAATGAATAGTTTTGCTTTTATCACTCTTCCTGTAATTAACAAGTGCAATATGACGTGGGACTAATAAAATAATTAAATAATGTTTATAGTTTTAAAAATTCAGTCACAGTACCTATGATCATTATTTGTTTATTTATTTTTTGTTTTGAATATCAGTCTATTATAAATTATAAAGTCAATTTATACACCACGAGAACTAACGTCATTTGAATAATAGAAATACCGACAACAGGAGTTGTCCACATAATATCAATTGGAACTTTGGAAGTATTGAAAACCACCGCTTAATTCGCCAACAGCGACACCTGAAACATCTTCAGATATATTATAACGTTATTCAAGATTTATTTTTTTTTATTTTGTATTTTACAAGTAATTAATTCCACGTTCAAGTTTTATGGTGCTTTTTTCTTTTTCAATTTTGGGTAAATTAATATAATTCGGTATTCATGGTTCAATAAAATTTCAGTTCCGAAATGATTAATCAGTAATTTTTAATTTTACGGATAATCATTTTCTCTTAACTTGAAAAACTTAGATTAATGAACGCAATTGTACAAACAAGACACGAAGGGGGGAAATATGTAGAGTTTTGTTGGTTTCAATTAACGTGAGAACTTATTTTTTCGCAAGTGTTGGAGAAAAATTATGGAAATTATTACGATGACATATTATACTGTTGAACTCAAGATTTTACAAAATTTAGAAAAAAGTAATATAATACACCGGTAATTATATGTCACACTTTTCAAAGTATTACAATAAAAAGAAATTAAACTTAACCTTGACTGTTTGTCTAATAATTCATCATTTTTATTCTTATAGGTCCAAATCAAATTCAGGGTTATGGTTAGGATTATTAATGGGCACTTGTGCTCTAATAACGTTTATGAAGGAAGATAGTAGTTATTCGGAAATATGTTTACTTACTGGACTGACAGGATTAGGATTGATTATGAGCTGTATTTGTTTAATATTACAACTTTATATAGATACATCTAGTAAAGATTTTCAGCTATTGTATTTTCTACCAGCCAGTATAACATCAATGTTGTATTTACTTTGGGCAAATAAAGGTATCTATTACAGTTATTCAATGATATTAATTAATTTTAATAATTAGATCTTATCATTATTACTTTTCTACCTAAATCTCGTAACTGCAAAATCGCTTATTAAAAATGATACTGAAATTAACAGGCATCTGTCAGATTTTTATACTAAATGATTAAACAAAATCTTTCATTAAAAAATATCACATCCAAAAACAAAAAAAAAATAATCTGGAAAACGGTTGACCCTATAGGCCATCCCTGCAACTTGCCGCTCTCTACACCTAAGCGCTCAACCTTTTCTCTCATTTTATTTTTGAGCTCTTCAAGCCGATCTGATCGATTGAGCCGTTCAAAAGTTATACGAGGTTTACATACATACATATATATATATATATATATATATATATATATATATATACATACACACACACATACACATATACATCTATACATACAACCGCACGGACACCACCGTGGGAATAGTCAGGGAAGCTTCCTGTGACCTTAAAACGTCAAGATCTGATGAAAACTCGATTTTCTCAAAACGGGGTGAAACCAATAACTTCCCAAATTTTAAAAAATTTTCAATTTTTCTTAGCAGGAAGTTGAAAATTAAGTACAAATTTAAAAAAAAAAATTTTTTTTATGATTGGTTTGTAATCAAAATGGAAAAAATTGTCAGGTGTCGGCTGATTTCAGTATCATGATTAAAATACAATTAGTGCATAAATGAAATCAGCTCTAAGGTAATTAGGCGCGAGTATTAAATAATTTCTATAAATAGTTGTTATAAGTCATTATAATAAAAGCAGGTAATAGAGTTAAATTAAATTAAATTTTTGATGTAGTGCATTTTATTCTATATTTAAAATTTTCAAGTTTAAATGGCTACAGAGATTCATTATCTCTATCAGTGTTAAATCCATGTTTACGTATACATACATATATATATATATATATATATATATATATATATATATACATACACACACACATACACATATACATCTATACATACAACCGCACGGACACCACCGTGGGAATAGTCAGGGAAGCTTCCTGTGACCTTAAAACGTCAAGATCTGATGAAAACTCGATTTTCTCAAAACGGGGTGAAACCAATAACTTCCCAAATTTTAAAAAATTTTCAATTTTTCTTAGCAGGAAGTTGAAAATTAAGTACAAATTTAAAAAAAAAAATTTTTTTTATGATTGGTTTGTAATCAAAATGGAAAAAATTGTCAGGTGTCGGCTGATTTCAGTATCATGATTAAAATACAATTAGTGCATAAATGAAATCAGCTCTAAGGTAATTAGGCGCGAGTATTAAATAATTTCTATAAATAGTTGTTATAAGTCATTATAATAAAAGCAGGTAATAGAGTTAAATTAAATTAAATTTTTGATGTAGTGCATTTTATTCTATATTTAAAATTTTCAAGTTTAAATGGCTACAGAGATTCATTATCTCTATCAGTGTTAAATCCATGTCCAGGGACTTAAAAAATTTAAACCTAACTATTTTTATTGAAGAGTCCGTTTTAATAATTAATAATTAATAATTAATAATACTTTCGCAATAGTTTTTTTTATTTATTAGCAAGGAGGGATTCATGAATAATTTTATGCATAGAAGTAAAGATAAATCAGTAAAAAAATGAAAATTATCGACAACAACCCAAGTAACATGTGCTTGAGCAAGATTTTGGTGCCAGCATCTTGAGCAAAACCCCTAGTTGCTAGTGTCTTTTTCTACATATGGGTCTTGCTCAAGTTTATTTAAAAAGACATGGTTCAAGATTTATATATAACTAGCTCAAGACATCTTGTGCAAGAATATGAGACAAGTCTAAAGTAAGGTGCATTGAAAAACTTTCTGACGCATTTTTTGTACCAGAAACTCACAACAAAGACTTACCCATGACTTGCTCAAGATCCGTAATTCTCAGAAATCCACTGATTCTATAGTAAATATAGGAGGGGTAGAATGATGCGAACGGTCATTCGAAAACATTTCATCTTGAGCAAATCTTGAGCAACTCTTGCACAAGTATATTTAGCATGCTTCTGGTGTCAGTCTTTCTCCAGACTTGAGCTATAATCTGGCCCAAAGATCTTGTACAAGGCTTGTCAATTGAATTTGCTACAAGTATCTGGAGCAAGACCCATAGGTAGAAAAAAACACTAACAACTATCGAAATTGAGACCAGATTTGCTCAAGCCTTGAAAAAGATTGCTATATGGGAAAAAGAGAAAAAATCACGAGCTAAAAGAAATTACAAAAATACAGACAGCGCAACAATTGCTAAGTAAATACTTTTGTAATGTAAATGAGGCACCCTGATTAAGAAATCTAATTTGAAATGATTTAGAATGATTTGAAATGATTTAAATGCATCGGATTTGAATACTATATAGATATACAATTAACATGAAGGTAATCATTTCAAATCATCTTTCTGAATCAGGGCATTCCACGCCAAATCGGACACTATTTGGCTTCTGCATCTTCGATTTTTATCACCATTTTTTATGTTATAGTATCTCTTGAGAGAGGTCTTTCTTATTTTTTTCAATTTTTTTTCTCGAGCCGTTTTTGAGTTATCGATTGAGAATTTTTCTTTTTAAACGTACTTTTGGAATAGAAAATTAACAACAATTTTAAAATTCTAAGTCAATGAAATTTTTAAGGTTTTAATATAAAATTTTGATGTTTGAATACTGGTCGGCCTGAAAAGAAGTTTATTGTTAACTTCCGGTACTAAAATATAAAATTTTTTAAATTTGAAAAAAAAAATAGACATCATCGTAATCCCATAATCCACCTAGGCTATAAAGTTGTAGAGTAAAAAATAAAAAATTTTATTGACATACAATTTTAAAAATTTTTTATTGCAAAAGTGTATTTAAGGTGAGGTGACCACCTTGAAAGCCTAAAAAATGCAATATTTTCAATATCTTTTTTCCAGACCCTGTATAAGATATTACAATGATTTTTTTTTAAACTTTTATTTGAAGCTTATAAAATACAAAAATACTTGATTTCTATTAAATTTCATTTTTTAACAACTATCCAGGAGCCGCCAAAGTCGAGGCTTAACAAAAATGTTGTCTTATGGTGGACAGATAATCTCAGGATTGGTGAATATAAGAAATAAAAAAAAATACGGCATCTTCAAAATAAAGATCCCTTATAAGAGAATCTACCGCAATTTGTCAAAAAATAAAAAAGAAATCGCGGATGTTTAATAAAAAGCCCAGTTTTTTCACTATTCTCTGCTAAAAAAAAAAAAATGTTATAATTGACTTTTTTTGACAAAAATGTGGTAGATTGGCTTATAAAACATCGCAACGAACAAAACAAGACCAAAAACATTGAAATTGATCAAGTAGTTCCAGAGATTAACTGTCCACCATTTGAAAAAAAATGTGTTTTGAGAAAAACGCATTTAAAGTTTTTACTCGGTATCAAGCGCCTATATGGAGCGCGCACACACTTTGACGAATTTCATTATGTTAGAATTCGAATTTTTGATGGTGATTTTTAAAAGTATAAGGATTGAAAAAATTCCACAAAAAAATCGATTTTTAACTTTCCGCTAAGAAAATCGAAGATTTTCGAAAAATCGGGAAGTTATTGTTTTCACCCCGTTTTGCAAAAATCGAGGTTTCAACAGATCTCGATGTTTTAAAGCCCTAAGAAGCTTCCCTGACTATTTTTACGATGATGCCCGTACGTCTGTATGTATGTATGTATGTGTGTGTGTGTGTGTGTGTGTGTTTGGGTTTTTTTTTTTTGGGGGGGGGGGCGGGAATCCTTTTTACGGATTCTAGGCATAGCTGTTTGGCCTGGATATGTGGCGACTCGATGCAGCGTCATACTAAAACTCGACGCTAACGCCCCTACCCACTAAACCCTAAACCCCTTTCCTCTTTCCTCTAATCCCTCATCGGAACCGCCGTTAGGCTTTACTTCGTGGGGGGAGGATATAGCTACTGCTCTTCCTTCTGGTAGCTAAGGTGTTATTTTACCTTTCTTCTAGTTGTTGTCATTTGCTCTTCTTCTTTCGATGGAACGCAAGTCTATGAGGACTTCTGTTGCAAATGTGCTGATGGCGTTCCAGGAAGCTCTTGATGACAACATTGCTTCTACTATTGTCTCTGGTTGGATTTTCTTCTTCAGGATCATCTCCAGCTCATCTCGCTGTGGATAAAATCGTGGGCACTCAAAGAAAACGTGATCCGCGTCTTCATTGATTCCTCGGCAGGACGGGCACTCCGGTGAATCATCATGCTTGAAGCGGTGAAGATACGTCCGAAAACATCCATGTCCTGACAACATCTGCGTCAGATAGTAATTGACCTCGCCATGACTCCGGTTTAGCCAAACGTCGATCTTCGGTATGAGACGGTGTGTCCATCTTCCTGTTGTCGCGGCGTCCCACTGCGATTGCCATCGTGCGATGCTGTTCTGCCGTTCTTCAGCTCTGAGTTCCTCGGCACAGTGTGGTTGTCCTCTTTCGTTGGTAAAGGTTCCGTCTTTCCTCAGCTAGGACTCTGAGCGGCAAAGTTCCAGAAATGACACACACTGCTTCCTCTGATATTGTTCGGAAGGCGCTGGCTACTCTTAGCGCGCTCAGTCGGTAAACTGGACATGCTTTCCTCCATGATTCTTGGATCTCAAGTGCGTCGGCCCAAATGGATATACCATATGTGAGGACCGATGTAACTACTGATAATAGCAATAACCTCCTTGTCTGCTTCGGGCCACCGATGTTGGGCATCAATCGTACTAGGTTAGCCACTACTGCTGATGCTTTGGCGGTCATGTGTTCAATTTGTTGTTTGAAGTTAAGTCGGGCATCGAGCATCACTCCCAGATATCGAATGAATGGTTGGGATGTGATTTCTTGGTCTCCGACGTTTAGATTGATCGTTTCCACCACTTTTCTGCTAGTGATAAGTACAGCCTCGGTCTTCTGTTTAGCCAGTTGTAGGTTTACTGTGTCCATCCACTGGTT